TTCATGGACTGCAACTCCCAGCACTCCTCCTGATCAATTTATCCACCTATCTATCTCTATCTAATCCATCTATATGGAAGATTGCTGGGAGTTGTGGTCCAGGAATAGGAAATTGGAAATATGCCAGGATTGGGATGCTCTCTCAAAAAAAAAAAAAAAATCCAGGGAGAAGAAAGCTTGCCTCTTGGAAGCAGTGCATTTGGATCATCCTCCTCTCCTAAAGGGCCTGGTCTAGGAGATGCTGGGAGCTGTAGTCCGGAAGAGAGTGTGGCTATGCTGTTGTGTGTTTTGTTTGCCAGAATCGTTTTTGCACATGTGCTGTAGAGTCTTTTTGCTTTTTTAGCTTTTTAAGTCCCTTCCACTGTGTTTTTCTGTGTTTTTATGAGTGATGGTCACTCGTTGGCCTGAGAGGTGTCTTGTGTCCAAATCTGGTGTCAATTCGTCCAGTGGTTTTTGAGTTCTGTTAATCCCACAAACGAACAGAACACTTTTATTTATATAGACTAGACATCCCCTGCCATGCGTTGCTGCGGCACAGTCTGTGTATATGTGTTTTGTGTTTTTATATGTGTGTGTATGTATGTGTTTGTGTATATATGTGGTTTTGCGCATGTGTTGTAATGTAATCTTGTATATTGGCTTTTAAATTCCTTTCCAAAGTGTTTTTATGAGTGATGGTTACTCATTGGCCTGAGAGGTGTCTTGTGTCCAAATTTGGTGTCAATTCGTCCAGTTGCTTTTGAGTTATGTTAATCCCACAAATGAACATGACATTTTTATTTATATAGCTGGAAATAATTTTTAACGGAAATTCTGGCTTTTTTGCTTGTAAAGCAAATGTCCTGATGCGAAGCTCGGGCTCATTGCTTGGACAGAGAAAGAACTGTGAACCTCTTGCATAATAACTCTCAGGATTATATAGTATGGAGTGGTGTCAAACTGTATTCATTCTTGTCAGGTTTTACAATGTATTGTAATGTAATATAGCTGAGTCATGCACTGCTAATGGGCTTCTATTGGAAATGCTGAGTCATGCAATAACTGTATATAGAACTTCATTTGGGGAATGTGTTCTGGCCTAGTCCAGGTGATTGTGAATGATGCAATCCTGGGTCTGAGTTAAGTTAATGAGTTGGGAACCAATCAGTGATTGCTATGTGTAATTGTATAGAATTGTATATAAGGAAGTCATGTACAGTGTATACTTTCTCCTTGTTTGTTGAAGGCTCTATGCAATTGATTAAACAAACCTGTCTGCTAAGGCAAGATATAACCATGTGCTGTGGTAAGTTTGTAGTGTCATCTAGACTGGGGGGAAAACAATGGTAAAACTGACAATGGCCGGGCATGTGCTCAAGTGTATGTAAAAGATTCCAGAGTGACTGCAGTTTGTGGGAGCAGTTGACTGAAAATACTGTGCAGGAAGAAGCTACTGGAAAGCACTGAAGTTGTGCAACTGATCTGCTGCTGAGTTGTGAAATTAATCTCAACAATGAGAGGTGCAGTTTTTGCCTATGCCACACAGTACATTATAGCGACAACTTTGGAATGGAACGCTATTCTTACAGGAAAGGCAAAATGGAAGTTTAAACAAATTAGTATTAGCAAAGAAACTTGCGATCTAGTTATTTTCCCCCTGAAGAGGAAACTTTACAAGTTGTCCTTGGACCTTTGCAGGAAGAGAGCATACCACGTTCCACCAGAAACAGGCTTTCCGCAGTAGGAAGATGTCATTAAACAGAGGGACTCTTTCTGCACATCGAATGGCATTGGTTTTAGCCATTCCTCCTAACGAAGGTATGTGCCGATTTTGTTAACGCGCGAGTCTTTAATCCAATCTCCTACACAATTTGAATCCAATCAACAATGAATATCATCCTCGCCATTTTATCCGATTTAGGACAACGATATTGCCCACAAGCAAAGGGATTGCAAAGAGTTCGACTCCCTTGCATAGATGATTCTATATTTTCCTGCTGTGCAATGTATAGGTCAACCTCAGCTGAATATGGTTAAAGAAATATAAACGTAAATGTGGAAATGTGGAATAGAAAATTTTAGCCATTGGAAATACAGTAGGGCCTCGCTTATCCAACTGGCAGAATGTTGGATAAATGAAAACGTTGGCTAATAGGGAGTCTCCGACTGTTACCCGTCTGATGCAGCGCCAGACACCCAGAATACTAACAACCGAGATTCAAAGAGTTAAGGCAAGGCAATGCCCTGGGGCTAGATGGGCCCAGCAGGAAGTGCCTGGATGAGGGAAAAGTAGCATTGAAATCCCAGAGGGAAGGAGGGAGGATGCTTCCGCTTCCAGAGCTGCCTATTTTCCACCTTTCCTCCCTCTTCCTCCTCCTTCTTCTCATGCCTTTTTCACTTGTTGGGAATGGAGAGAGTGTTGCGGAAATGTGCTTCTTTAATTGAAATGCTGGAGGAAAAGGGGACGTTGGATAAGACGGAATGTCGTATAAGCAAAGGTCAGAAAAGCGAGACTCTACTATACTGCTAAACCTTGATGTCAACTAATATCACTTAAACTTGCAAAGGAAGGAAGTCGTGGATCAGGTGCCAATTCCTTATTTCTGCAGGTGTGGCTTTTTATAGCACCATATACATTTGTGAAGCTGGTAATATAATATAGTGTGATATAAATCAGGAAATCTCCAAACATGAAGTCCCTCATCAGAAGTACAGTCCATACCAAGAATAAATGGCTTCAGGCAAATAACTGGCTCTAAGTATCAACTGGAAAATAGAGGAGTACCCAAAATGGTCCCCATAGGTGGCTGAGATGGTGACACTTTTGCTTTCTGATAGCTCATAGTCTACAAACTTTGTTTCATGCACAAAATTATTTAAGACGTCGTGCCTTAAATTACCTTCAGGCGATGGGTATTATATGTATATGACACATAAATGGACTTTGTATTTAGACTTGGGTCCCATCCCCAAGATATCTCATTTATATCTTTGTATTGGGGATAGAGTATTTTTATATTATTATTATTATTATTATTATTATTATTATTATTATTATTAGAACCTCTACATAAGAATGTCCCAACATAAGTACGCTTTAACTTACAAATCCTCACTTGACCTGTTTATTTATCATGTCAGGCAACCCAACAGTCATATTACATTTCTGACAGAACAAACAAACATACAAAAGATACAGAGTTTGCAAGTTTGGCCTAGAATGATGTTTTGACATCCTAACACTGTTTTGACCTACGGACAGTGGAGAAGAGGCCTCTTTTCTTCCTAAACCAGTTCTAACAGCAAGGCAGAGAGAAACCAAATCTGGACTGGATGCCTAATTGGAGCAGAAACTCTGGCTCAATAATAATAATAATAATAATAATAATAATAATAATAATAATCTTTATTTATACCCCGCCACCATCTCCCCAATGGGGACTCGGAGCAGCTTACACAAGGCCAAACCCAAACGACGAATTACAATAAAATAAAACCGAAAATGCAAACAATAAACAACAACAGCATAATTACATAAAACATGTGAAAACATAGCAATATAAAATTACAATAGGCACAATCACAATGACAATGGGCGGGCTACATGGCGAGATAAGAAAGAGACAGATTATTTGCGGAGGAGGGCTCATTATAGTGGTGGTTGTGGAATCAAACTTTCCCACAAGCGGGGGACAGGGGGGACGGGACATGTACTCCAAGGATAAAACATTGAGGCTAGGCAATAGTGTGAGAATGTAAACCTATTTATCAAAAGCACAGCAGAAGAGCCAGGTTTTAAGGTCCTTTTTTAAGGTTTCTAGAGTAGGGGCTTTCCTAATTGTGATTGTTTCCCCTGAATATTCTGGGAGGGGAAATCTACTCCAGAGCTTGCAGACCACCCTAGTGCAGCAGAACCTCAACCTAAACCAATGGTTCCCAACCTGTGGTTCGTGGACCACCGGTGGTCCGCAAGAACGAAAAAATGGTCCGCGGCCTTACCATTACTACACCGTTGCCTCAAAATCATGTGGCAACGTGAGTGACTGGTTTCACGCAACCCTCTTATAGTGCCAAGGCAACCGGGAAGTCGGTAGGGGAGAGGCTGACTAATAATAATAATAATAATAATAATAATAATAATAATAATCTTTATTTATATCCCGCCACCATCTCCCCAATGGGGACTCGGAGCGGCTTACATGGGGCCAAGCCTGGGCAACATATTACAGCAGAATAAAAGCAAAGCATAAACAACAAACAACATCATCAAAATTTCATAGAAAAAAAGAGAAAAAAAGTATAACATAGTCATAAAATAACATTCCAATAAACACAATCACAATAACAATGGGCGGGCCACATGTACAAGATAAAATGAATAAAATCTAATGAGATAAAAAATAGGAGCAGGTTATTTGCAGGGAACTCATAAAAACAAGCAGAGTTGTGAAGCTAAACTATTCACGAAAGATTAATAGTACCACATCAGCCTCTAGATTATTAAATATGGTTTTCTGTGGACTACAGGATGGCATGCATTCTGTATCAGAAACTAGAACTGATGTAGTCTGTCCAGTGCAATTTTCCGAGTCAGCACCCTAAATAACCAAACTGATTCTAAAGTTGACCAAAAACCAGTTTATAAAACTTTTGATACTAATATTAGAGAGTGGTCCCTGGTCAAGTGGTCCCTGGAAAAGTGGTCCTCGGTCAAAAAAAGGTTGGGAACCATTGGCCTAAACAGAAAGAACAGGGATTCCAGCAGACCGCAGCAGCCATTGAACCTCATGCCTCAGCCTGCGTGCCTTTGCCTGCGTGCTCTTCTCCGCTATGGGAGATTGCTCTCCGCTGAGGAACTTTGGGTTAGTTCACGAGTGCTTTTTACTCCTGGTTTAGATCATTACATGAACACACTCAAAATGGTTGGCTGGCTTAGACAAATCACCATGAAACCCATACATTAAGTATTCAGATCTGTATTGGTGTACGTTATTCCAAAATGGGATTAATGAAATCATTACCTGTTCGCATATTATTCCGACCGCAACTTGCAATTCTTGGCCGCGGGCTATTCTTCGAAAACTGCCCTAAAGACAAAAACACTTTGTTTCAATCCAAACGTCTTTTGTTTTGGCTGATTATTCCCGCTATGCCTTCACAACTGGAAGAATGGCTTCCCTTGCTGCGGACGGCAAATACCGCTCACCCTCTGCGTGGACGCCATTCATTTGAAAGCTTAACAGCAAACATACAAAATCTATACAAAACAAAACCAGTGGGAATGATTTCAAAACTCACCAAAACACCAACTTGACTTTTTAAGTCTTTCTTTCGTTGTAACAGTTTACTAAGTTTGGGGTAACATGTCGAGTAACAAAGGAATACCAAAGAATAGTTGGATTTTTTTAACTGAAACCCCTCCAGTATTTTCAATCAGGCCCTGTCTTGCCTACTCCTGATATAGAATCCTAGAGCTGGAAGAGACCCCCAAGGGCCATCCAGTCCAACCCCTTGCCATGCAGAGAGGCACAATCAAAGCACTCCTGATAGACATCCTCTGTGGAAAAGCCTCCACCACACTCCCAATCAGCCCAGGCCACTCTCCAACAGCTCTTACTCTCAGGAAGTTCTTCCTCACCTTTTCAGTCAAATCTCATTCCCTGCCATGTGGACCCATTGTACCCTTTTTGTGCCCTGGTCTCCAGACCAGCAGAAAATACGTTAGAAATATAAATCCAAGTGGACGTTACTTGTTTGTTTATTAATGTCAAACATGTTGGATCTATGTGCAATAGTCGTCTAATGTTGACTTATGTTGGGTTGCTGTGAGCTTTCCGGGCTGTATGGCCATGCTCCAGAACAGGTATAGGTAAACTTTCTAACTTGGGGGATGCATGATAGCACTCCCCGCTAAGAGGATTGACTGCTGATAGAAGGAAGGAAGGGAAGGAGGAAGGAAGAAAGAGAGAAGGGAGGGGGAGGGAGAGAGAAGGAGAGAGGGAGGGAAGGAGGAAGGAAAGAGAGGAGGGAGGGAGAAAGAAGGATGGATGGATGGATGGAAGGAAGGAAGGAAGGAAGGAAGGAAGGAGAGAAGGAAGGGAGGAAGAGAAGGGTGGATGGAAGGAAAGGAAGGAAGGAAGGATGGAAAGAGAGAAGGGAGGGAGGGAGGAAGAGAAGGATGGAAGAGAAGGAGGAAAGGGAAGGGAGGGAGAAAGAGAAGGATGGAAGGAAAGGAAGGAGGAAGGAGAGAAGGAAGGAATGGAGGAAGAGAAGGATGAATGGATGGAAGAGAGGGAGGGAAGGAGGAAGGAAAGAGAGAAGGAAGGGAGAAAGAGATGGATGGATGGATGGATGGACGGAAGGGAAGAAGGAAGGAGAGAAGGGAGGGAGGAAGAGAAGGCTGGCTGGCTGGCTGGCTAGATGGATGGATGGGAAGGAAGGAAAGGAAGGAAAGGAAGGAAGGAAGGAAGGAAGGAAGGAAGGAAGGAAGGAAGGAAGGAAGGAAGGAAGGAAGGATGAAGGAAAGAGAGAAGGAAGGAAGGGAGGAAGGATGGAAGGAAGAGAGGGAGGAAAGAGAGAAGGAAGGAAGAAAGAGAAGAATGGAAGGAAAGGGAGGAGGAAGGAAAGAGTGCAGGAAGTAAGGAAAGAAGGAAGGACAAAAGAGAGGAAGGGAAGGAGGGATGAAATAGGGAAGGAAGGACGAAAGGGCAGAAGGGAAGGATTGAAGGAGTAAGAGGGCGAGAGAGAAAGAAGAAAGAATGAAAGAGAGAAGGAAGGAAAGACAAAAAGGAAGGAAGGGTGGAAGGGAAAGTGGAAGGAAAAAAAGAAGGAAAGAAGAAAGGGAAGGAGGAAGGAAAGAGAGAGAGAAGGAAGAAAGGATAGGATGGTGAGAAAGAGAGGAGGGCCCGAGAAAAGAGCCCAAGGGGCCACATCTGGGTGTTCCCATCCCTGGTCTATGTCTATAAAGTACAGATGAAGTATAAATTGGTGTCATGTTTGGACCTGGGTCTTATGATGTATATGCAAATAATATTCCAAAATCCAAAGCCATTTGGTTTCAAGTATTTCAGATACTCAAGTTGTACTAATGCTGCTTATATAGCTTACGGTGTGCTCCGTGTTCAGCATATGGATGACTATAGCTCTAATGGAGATGGTGTGTAGCATTCATCACCAGGCGTATGTGTGTTTGCGTTTTAAAGGGGCCTCAATGCTAAGATGAAGTTATCTATTTCCAAAACGTATTTACATCCATCCCTTGAGGAGCACGTTTTTGGTGGTGTTTGGCGGTGCCATGGTGCATAAACTATTCCATAAATTCCTCTTTCCGGTAACGTCAGTGCGCCGTTCCCATCTGGATTCCTCTCCAGGACTCTCCAGGAACGCAGCTAGAGCCTTGCAACACACAACTTCAGGTGTTTCTACCGGCACTCAGCTATTTTTAGTGCTGATATCACACGTCAGCTGTAAATCGATCTCAGCTCAAATATAACCTTCGGGAAACCTGTCAGATACACCTGACTCTGGCCCTAAAAGACCTTTGCAGGCACACTCGGCGGCAGCAACAAGTCGAGTATTTACTAGGGAATGTCTCCATCCCAAACACTTCTTCCAAAGCTTAGAAAATCAGGTTATGGGTTGTTGTAGGTTTTCCGGGCTATATGGCCATGTTCTAGAGGCATTTTCTCCTGATGTTTTGCCTGCATCTATGGCAAGCATCCTCACCTCACTACCTCTGAGGATGCTTGCCATAGATGCAGGCGAAACGTCAAGAGAAAATGCCTCTAGAACATGGCCATATAGTCCGGAAAACCTACAACAACCCAGTGATTCCGGCCATGAAAGCCTTCGACAATAAATCAGATTATGGCTGCAAAGTGGGGTGGGAAAATGGTGGCTTTTGATATTGTTGGACTGCAACTCCCAATGTCCCTCATCTCCAGTTACCAATGGATGGGAAAATGGGAATTGTAGTCCACCTGCATTTTCCTCATTTCTCCTACATGGTCCCTGTGAAATGCACACATCGAGGTCCCCAGATGTCATTGAACGACAGCTCCCATCACTTCTGATTATCTCCCTTGTAGACTGGGGATAATAGGAATTGCAACTCAACAGCACTCGTGGCTTTGAGGTTGGGGAAAGGTTAGAAAAGATTTTGAAGTCATATCCACAAGCCTTGCATCTAAATCCAAACTCTACTCTCCTGACTAAACAGGATACAGATGTGACTATATCCTACCTCCCATCATCCCTAGTCATTAGGTCTAATGATGAAGAGTCCAGCATCTGGAGGAGGACCACGTACAATGACATGGTGGGCCGGATTTGGCCCGTGGGCCTTGAGTTTGACACACGTGATCCATGCACATGTGTTCAAATTAGAGGGAAATATAAAAATATTGCATTCTACAATGCATAGAGGGACCCTCCGTGGCGCGGTTGGGTAAACCACTAAGCTGCTGAACTTGCTGACCAAAAGGTCGGAGGGGGAGCGGGGTGAGCTCCCACTGTTAGCCCCAGCTTCTGCCAACCTAGCAGATCAAAAACATGCAAATGTGAGTAGATCAATAGGTACTGTTCCAGCGGGCGGGTAATGACATTCCATGCAGTCATGCTGGCCACATGACCTTGGAGGTGCCTACGGACAACGCAGGCTCTACAGCTTAGAAATGGAGATGAGCACCAGAGTCCCAGAGTTGGATTTGATTAGACTTAATGTCAGGGAAACTCTTTACCTTTACCTTACAATATATAGAGGAGATCGAGCTCCATAAGAAACCAAGAAAGGGGCCAAGCAGTGGACCAGCCATCTTTTTATGAAGTATCGTTTTGGGTTGCTGTGAATTTTACATGCTGTCTGCTCATATTCCAGAAGCATTCTCTCCTGACACTTCACCCACATCTATGGCAGGCATCCTCAGGGGCATGGAGCCCCCGGTGGCGCAGTGGGTTAAACCCCTGTGCCAGCAGGACTGAAGACCAACAGGTCACAGGTTCAAATCTGGGGAGAGGCGGATGAGCTCCCTCTATTAGCTCCAGCTCCTCATGCGGGGACATGAGAGAAGCCTCCCACAAGGATGATAAAAACATCAAATCATCCGGGCGTCCCCTGGGCAACGTCCTTGCAGATGGCCAGTTCTCTCACACCAGAAGCGACTTGCAGTTTCTCAGGTCGCTCCTGACATGACAAAAAAAATCCTCAGGGGTTGTGAGGTGTGTTGGAAACTAGGCAAGTGGGATTTATAAATCTGTGGAATGAGGGAGAAAGACCTCAGCTTCTGGAGAGATGTATTTTGCTCATTTATCTGGCTGCATCAGCCTCATGGTTGCCTATAAAGGGCTATTGAATCCATGGATGGAGTATCCACGAACACAGAGGGACAACTATAACTTTTGTCTGCTTTTTCAGTGTGAATGTTGTAATCGGCCAGCTTGATTAGCACGGAACGGCTTTTCAGCTTCAAAGCCTGGCTGCTTCCTGCCTGGTAGCCATTTGCAACATTCCCACTTGCCTCCAACAGACAAGGGTTCTTTCCACAGATATATAAACCCCACTTGCCTATTTTCCAACAAACCTCACAACCTCTGAGGATGCCTGCCATAGATGTGGGAGAAATGTCAGGAGAGAATGCTTCTGGAACATGGCCGCACAGCCCGGAAAACTCACCGCAACCCAGTGATTCTGGCCGTGAAAGCCTTTGACAACACAAAGTATCATTTGACAACACAAAGTATCGTTTTGTTTCCTTCCTATATTAATGTAACCCAAAGTTGCCTTTCCAAAGTGGTTTTGAAGCTCCACAGAGATGCACGCAACCTCTGTGCTCTTCTAACTCTGGAAACTAAAACCAGATATGGAAAATTCTGTTTTGCGAAGGCTAGAGGGAAGACGGAGGGTAAAAACCCTCCCAGCCAATTGCGTGACCCAAGAGCGAACCTGGACCTCGAGGACGTCTCTCGGGTTATCGGGAGTAAACACAACTTGAAACACGAGATTGAAGAGAAAAGCATTCCAAAGAAGAGCAGCTCTCTTTCCAAGGTTCAAGAACTGCTATTTCTTTGACAACCTGAATACAAGTCTATACTTGAAGTCAATGCTTACAAATTTCAATCGTAATATACTTATTTTAATATATGCATTATATACATGTGCGGCACTCTTCTGTCTACGTCCACAAGTTGGTGATAGATCAGGCCTGGGCAAACTTGGGCCTGGCAGCTTCAGACCCCTTCTTTTCCCCCCAACATCATCTGTGCGCATTCAGAAGAAGACCTACAAGAAACTCTAAACACCTTCGCAGAAACATACGAGAAGCTCGGCCTGTCATTCAACATCGAGGAAACCAAAGTGCTCTTCCAGCACTCAACAGCCAATCCCTTTCCAATGCCAGAGATACAACTTAATGGTGTAACATTAGAAAATGTGGACCATTTCTGCTCCCTTGGCAGCCACCTCGCCACAAAAGTCAACATTGAGACTGAAATACAACACCGCCTGAGCTCTGCGAGTGCAGCATTTTTCCGAATGAAGCAGAGAGTGTCCGTAGGGAGACCAAGGTGCTTGTTTATAAAGCTACTAGCTGTCCCCTGCCACATGTTGCTGTGGCCCAGTCTGGAAAATAATGAGGTGTTTCTAATATATGTAATCTCTTTATGCTTGTGGGTAAACAATATTTCTTGCTGGGGTTTTTTTTGTCAGTTTTGATGTGGAGATTGTCTGGTTTGCCTACTCTGGAACATGCAACATATAATTGTCCTTCTTTACGAGTCCCTTTCAAAATTATGTTACTATACCTCTCTGTATGTGAATCATATCTATCTATCTATATCTATGGCTGGATGGCTCTTTGTCAGGAGGGCTTTGATTACGTTTTCTTGCCCTGGTGAAGGGAGTTGGACTGGATGGCCTTAAGCATTTTCTCTTGGTCATGGGGGTTGTGTGTGGGAAGTTTGGACCAAATTTGTCGGTGATGGAGTTCAGCATGCTCTTTGATTGTGGGTGAACTATAAATCCCATTAACTACAACTTCCAAATGTCAAGGTCTATTTTCCCCAAACTCCATCTGTGTTCTTATTTGGGCGTATTGAGTGCTTGTGCCAAGTTTGGTCCAGATCCATCACTGTTTGAGCCCACAGTGCTCTCTGGATGTCAGTGAACTACAACTCCCAGACTCAAGTTCAATGCCCACCAAACCCTTCCAGTATTTTCTGTTGGTCATGGGAGTTCTGCTCTTTGATTGTAGGTGAACTATAAATCCCAGCAACTACAACTCCCAAATGACAAAATCATAATTTTTGAGTGATGATCACTCCTTGTGTTGTGAGACATTTTGTTGCCAAATTTGGTTTGATTTCGTTCATTGATTCTTTTGTTTTTAAGGTACTCATTATGCACAGAGCATTTTTATATATATAGATTGTCCTCCCAACCCTGCTATACGCCTGCGAAATCTGGACTGTCTACAGACATCACATGCAACTTCTGGAACGATTCCATCAGCGTTGCCTCTGGAAAATATATGTTTCCTGATGGTCTTTGGCGACACCTCTGAAACCCCCTTGCAGCCCTCCAAGGGTACCAACCCCCAGTTTGAGAAATGCTGCCTTGGAGCCACTACACATTGGAAAAGACTCAAAAGCACACAACAACAGGGCCACCTTTACTATACGGTTCTGGCCCAGCTTACTTGTCCAAACGTATCCACCCCTACGTCCTACCTCGTAATCTAAGATCAGGGGCGGCTCAACCCATTACGCAAAGTAATTTGCAGTATACTTGATTTTGCCCAGGGGTGCTCTTGAGGCACTCTTGGGGGAAAATAGACCTTGACATATGCAAGTTGTAGTTACTGGGATGTATAGTTCACGTAAAATCAAAGGGAAATCTGAACTCCACCAATGATGGAATTAAACCAAATATGGCACACAGAACTCCCATGATGAACAGAAAATATATATCAATGATTGGTTGGGGGGGGGGGGGCGCCAAAATACTGTTTGCTTACCGTTGAAAATTACCTAGGGCTGCCTCTGTCTAAGATCATCTGGGAGGCCCTGCTCTCGTTCCCGTCAACAGCACAGATGCGCCTGGCGGGGACGAGAGACAGGGCCTTCTTGGCTGTGGCCCCCCACCTATGGAACACACTCCCAATTGAGGTAAGATCCGCTCCCTCCCTCCTGGCTTTTAGGGGAAAAAATTAAAATCATGGTTTTTGGACCAGGCCTTCGGGCAGTAGAAGTAAATGTATGCAGCATTTTGGAAAGACAATTACTGGAACGGCGATTAGACGGACGAGACTGTTTTATTGTTTTAATGATTGTACTTTTTAATTTAATGTATGTCTAATTGTAGTATATAATTGTAATTGTTTGTACTGGCATTGAATTTTTGCCATTACTTACGTGTAAACCTCTTTGAGTCCCACTTGGGGTGAGAAAAGCTATATACAAATAATGTAAATAATAATAAATAAATAAATAAATAATAAGATAGTGAGGATATTACGTGTTTCTGTCACATGATGCTGAGCAAATATTTGGGGAGAAAGTGCTTCAAGGCAACAGCCTAGCTCTTCACTTCAAGCAGCAAAATCTCGAAGGTTGGCTCTGCTGAATCTCTTCCATTGAGCACCTTTCTAACTTGGTTTAGAGCAGGGGTCTTCAAACTACGGCCCGCGGGCCACTTCAGACCCACCAAGGGCACTTATCCGGCCACAGAGGAGGAGCGCCCCCCCTCCCCACACACACACAGTGCCCTCCCTTGGCTGGCTCACGCTATCCGTCAGGCCCGATGGGCAGCGTGAGCCAGCCAAGGGCGGCTGCCCCACGCGGCCTACTCTCACGTAAAGCACCTCTCGAGGTGCTTTACACGAGAGTAGGCCGCACAGGGTTGCTCCTCCCTTGGCAGGCTCATGCTGCCCATTGGGCCCGATGGGCACCATGAGCCAACCAAGGGAGGCTGCCCCAGTGCTCCATGCAGTCATGCCGGCCACATGACCTTGGAGGTGTCTACGGACAAGCCGGCTCTTCGACTTAGAAATGCAGATGAGCACCACACCCCAGAGTCAGACACAACTGGACTTCATGTCAGAGGAAAACCTTTAACTAGGAAAATTGTGGAAGATCCAGGGTGGGAGAAAGAACTCTTGTCTGTTGGAGGTAGGTATGAATGTTTCAGTTGGCCACCTTGATTACCGTTTCATAGCCTGACAGTTTTTAGGGAGAATCCTTTGTTGAGAGGTGATTAGCTGGCCCTGATTGTTTCTTGTCTGGAGTTCCCCTGTGTTTGAGTGTTGTTCTTTATTTACAGTTATAATTTTAGAGTTTTTTTATACTGGTAGCCAGATTTTGTTCAGACTAGAAAGAGGAAGATTTCACATTCTCTGCTCCTGGAATTACTGCCTAAAGAGGGCTAGAAAGAACCCTTCCACACAGCAAAATAAGATATGTACAATGCGCAAAGGAATTTTTTAATTGATTTTTTTAACTATAGTCCGGCCCTCCAACGGTCTGAGGGACAGTGAACTGGCCCCCAGTTTAAAAAGTTTGAGGACCCCTGGTTTAGAGCCCACCATTGCAGACATAGTTGCTCGTTTGAATCCAAACAAGATGAGACCCAAGAAGATTGCGCCAGCGAGCGACAGATACCCAACACAGTCTCCTTGGTAGCAGATATGCCGAGTGGAAGGAAGACTATGCACTTCAGCCCACATCCAAGCGTTTCACCTGAAATACACTTGCATTTACAACCTGGGAGTATATTTACAACCCTGAGAAGAGGAAATGCCTGGGTGTGTTTGTTCACTTTGAGTAGTTTGGTGTAGCACAAAGTGTCCGCAGGAGGTGGACAAAGATTGGGACTTACCGTTTGACTCTATTTGGAGAAATGATGGGGGCTCCGTTTCCTTATTGCTTCTTCATGGGTCCTGCAAAGAGAAGCGGGAATTAAGGCCTAGATCAGTGGTTCTCAACCTTCCTAATGCTGCGACCCCTTAATGCAGTTCCTCATGTTGTGGTGACCCCCAACCACAACATTATTTTTGTTGCGACTTCATAACTGTAATTTTGCTAATGTTATGAATCGTCATAACATCTGATATGTAGAATGTATTTTCATTCACTGGACCAAATTTGGCACAAATACTCAATATGCCTAAATTTGAATACTGGTGGGGTGGAGGGATTGATTTTGTCATTTGGGAGTTGTAGTTGCTGGGATTTATGGTACATTTAAATTAAACTCCACCAATGATGCAATTGAACCAGACTTGGCACACACAACTCTCATGACCAACGGAAAATACTGGAAGGGTTTGGTGGGCATTGACCTTGAGTTTGAGAGCTGTAGTTGAGTGAACTCAAACAATGATGTATCTGGACCAAACTTGGCACAAATAATCAATATGCCCAAATGTGAACACTGGTGGAGTTTGGGGAAAAGAGACCTTGACATTTGGGAGTTGTAGCTGCTGGGATTTATAGTTTGCCTACAATCAAAGAGCATTCTGAACTCCACCAGCAATGGAATTGAACCAAACTTGGCACACACAACTCTCACGACCAACAGAAAATACTGGAAGGGTTTGGTAGGCATTGACCTTATGTTTGGGAGCTGTAGTTCACCTACATCCAAAGAGCACTGTGAACTCAAACAATGTTGTATCCGGACCAAACTTGGCACAAATAATCAATATGCACAAATGTGAACACTGGTGGAGTTTGGGGAAAATAGATCTTGACATTTGGGAGTTGTAGTCACTGGGATTCACAGTTCACCTGCAATCAAAGAGCATTATGAATTGTACAATTAGGCCAAAATTCCCACACAGAACCCCCATGACCATCAGAATACACAGTGTATTCTGATGGTCATGTGTTTTCTGATGGTTTTTGGCGACCCCTCTGACACCGCCTTGCGACGACCCCCAGGTTGAGAAACACTGCCTTACACAGATTACATAATCATAGCTTTCTCTCTTTTTCAAAACCCTCATTTGCTCTTATCAGATATACAGGTAAATACAGTTGAAAACAGTCGGCAGAAGCAATTTACCTGGAACAGCTTTGCAAAGCATTAAGGCCGAGATCAGGGAGCGCCTTCACCAGCCAAGGTCTGGCATTATGCACCCGAGGATGCTCCAAGCGGGAGATTTATAGGGCTGCATCCAGCCAAGGTGTGCACAGGGGCCAGGTAAGGGCCAGAGCACCGCCCCTTTGTTCTGACAGGGTTCGATCTCGTAAAATGGAAAGGCCGTCTCCGTGACATTTCTTTGAACTTCAAAACAGCTCCCAAATAGCAACCCCAAAAAAAGAAGCCCAGTTTTGTTTTGTTTTGTTTTCCCTCTCCAGCCCAAATCTCACCGATCTCTCTGTTTGTTTCAACTCCAGCAAGAGTGGAGATCCCTTGCGCAGATAGTGCCAAACTACTCGCAAAGGCCTGCGCTGTTATTGCCAGTTAATAGATTGGGTTTCGTGACCTACATGGCAAACCAGCTCCCGCGCCCCAGATGGTATCTAGGCGCAGCATTTATCTCTCCGGCCCGTTCCTGTAAGTGGTTTGATCAGATCTCTGCAAGTGCCTTTAGGAAAAGCTCTTGCCTAAGTGTGATTTATGTCTCCACGACACTATCTTTAGTGCTTGTTTGTCGGGCATATGCATTTCCGGAGAAGATCTACCTAATTCCGGAGACGTACATACATACATGTTTTGAGGGAAATAGGTGGGCTCACAAAAAACCTGCATTTACCTTGATTTGGTGAGGAAACATAAGACTGCTTGCATTCCCAAATTGTGGAAGGTTTCTGCTTTGCATGTGCTTTGCATGCAGAATTAGTAATAATAATAATAATAATAATAATAATAATAATAATAATAATCCTTTATTTATACCCTGCTAACATCTCCCAAAGGACTCAGTGCGGCTTACAAGAGGCCGAGGCCCAACACATCAGTAAAACAACAGCATAACAAATACAACAATAAAACAATAGCAATAAACATTAGACAATAACACCATGACACATTTAAAACTAAGTCCGGGCCAAATGTAATGATTAAAATTTTAAAATGCTGAACATGACAGGTGAGATGGATAGGTTTTTGGAGATAAGTGCAGTGTGCAGACAATCTTAATCTCTAGTAAAGTGCAATTGGGACATGATGCTTGGAGTTTCCTATTCTGGGAAGGCACACTGGAACAACCACGTCTTCAAGCTCTTCCTAAAGACTGCTTGTCTGATATCCTTGGGGAGAGAGTTCCAGAATCGGGGGACCACCACGAAGAAGGCCCTGTCCCTCGTCCCCACCAATCACGCTTGCGACGCAAGTGGGATTATGAGCAGGGCCTCACCAGATGATCAAAGAGATCGTGTGGGTTCATATACGGAGATGAAGTCACACAGGTAGGAGGGGCCCAAACCATTTAGGGCTTTGTAGGTAAGCACCTGCACCTTGAATTGGGACCGGAAAATGAACAGCAGCCAATGGAACTCCTTAAACAGGAGGGTTGACCTCTCTCCGTAAGGAGCACCAGTTAACAACCTGGCCGCCGCCCATTGGACCAGTTGGAATTTCCGGGCCATTTTCAAGGGCAGCCCCACGTAGAGTGCATTACAGTAGTCTAATCTGGAGGTGACTAAGGCATGGACCACCCTGGCCAGATCTGCCTTCACGAGGTACGGTCGCAGTTGGCGCACAAGTCTCAATTGTGCAAAAGCCCTCCTGGTCACCGCTGACGCCTGAGCCTCAAGCGTAAGTGATGAGTCCAGGAGGACACCCAAACTGCGTACCTGTGACTTCAGGGGGAGTGTAACCCCATCCAGCACAGGTTGCCACCCTATACCCCGATCTGGTTTACGATCGACCAGAAGGACCTCTGTCTTGTCAGGATTAATCTTCAGCTTGTTCATCCTCATCCAGACAACCACAGCGGCCAGGCACTCGTCCAGCATCCGAGGGGCTTCCCTGGGATTAGGTGGTAAGGAGTAGTAGAGTTGTGTGTCATCTGCATAGCAATTATAACCCGCTTTTTCTGAACCTGACTTATACAAAAATGTACAAACGTCAGGATAGAAACACATACACATGTACAAGTATGTAGGCAGCAGGAAAAGAAGACTACATTCTAAACCAGTGGTTCTGAGAGGCCCTGCTCGCGCTCCCGGCTCCTTTGCAGGCGCGATTGGTGGGGACGAGGGAGAGGGCCTTCTCGGTGGTGGCCCCCCACTCTGGAACTCACTTCCCAAGGACATCAGGCAGGCCCCAACATTGGCAGTCTTGAGGAGGAGCCTGGAAACGTGGCTGTTCCAGTGTGCCTTCCCAGAATAAGGAAAATTTTCAGTTTCTTCTGAAAGTACAGTATATTTTTACAATATTCACTGTTGGTGGTACTTGTGACATACGTTCCAGTGAATCATCTGGGCCACAGAGTTGTACCTCTGTTTGTAGTCCGTCTGTGCAATTTTCTTGCAACAGCTGAAGATATGATCCATGGTTTCATCAGCTTCCTTGCACAGTCTGCATTTTGGGTCATCCGCCAGGATTGAAAAATCCGCGGATGACCCAAAATGCAGACTGTGCAAGGAAGCTGATGCAACCATGGATCATATCTTCAGCTGTTGCACGAAAATTGCACAGACGGACTACAAACAGAGGTACAACTCTGTGGCCCAGATGATTCACTGGAACGTATGTCACAAGGACCACCTGCCAGTAGTAAAGAATTGGTGGGATCATAAACCCGCAAAGGTTGTGGAAAATGAACATGCAAAAATATGTATGTCTCCGGAATTAGGTAGATCTTCTCTGGAAATGCATATGTCCGACAAACAAGCACTAAAGATAGTGTAGTGGACACATAAATCACACTCTCAGCCAAGGGGAGGGCTGTTTCTGGAGGTCAGCTGTGACCAGCAGTGCTGTGGAATTTGAAGAGGCACGAATGGAGGGCGAAAGAGAGAAACCTGCCAAGAGGAAGGCGCGTCAAGCCAACCCCGACCGGGACCGCCTTCCACCTGGAAACTGATGCCCTCACTGCGGGAGATGATGCAGATCAAGAATAGGGCTCCACAGTCACCTACGGACCCACTCCCAGGACACCGACCTTGGAGGACCATCATCCTCGGACTACGAGGGATCGCCTAATTGAAATTGAAGGGTTATGGTTTGGATAAGGGTTTTGCCATTACCGACCTCTTACATTCCTTCTATAATATCTGTGTTCCGTTCCGCGTTGCGCAAACAGTGCTCCTGAAGGAGTGAAGCAGAAACAGCCTCGCGCTCAGAGCTTCTGGACCTCAGCTTTCATACTATAACCGAGATCTTCAGCCTTCTCTGCCAAAAGGGTTCCTCAGATCATCAGAAATATGTGTTGAAGGGAGATGTTGACAGGCTGGAAAGTGTCCAGAGGACGGTAACTAAAATGTCTGGAGAATAAGCCCTGTGAGGAGCGGTTTAAAGAGCTGGGCATGTTTAGCCTGCAGAAGAGAAGGCTGAGAGGAGACTTGATGAGATCATCCTTCTCTGCCAAAGGGGTTACTAAAGCCATCAGAAATATGTGTTGAAGGGAGATGTTGACAAGCTGGAATGTGTCCAGAGGAGGGCAACTAAAGTGTCTGGAGAACAAGCCCTATGAGGAGCGGCTTAAAGAGCTGGGCATGTTTAGCCTACAGAAGAGAAGGCTGAGAGGAGACATGAATGAGATCTTCAGCCTTCTCTGCCAAAGGGGTTCCTAAAACCTTCAGAAATTTATGTTTTCTGATGGTCTTTGGTGACCCCTCTGAAACCCCCTTGCGACCCCCTTCCCAGGGGTCCCAACCCCCAGGTTGAGTAACAGTGCCTTCTATGCTCAGGAATTACTTGAAGGCACCAGCTGAGCCAATGTTTTGAGCACAGTTGCCTCCTAATGCAAGGCATTCATTTGGATAG